CACTGAGTGGCGTGTCCTGATCCTCATAGAGGGTGCGATATTTCAAATCCTCATCATGAGGAATCACAATTCGTGGTGTATCCGATGTATCGGTGCTATAATATAACAAGCCCTTATTCAGCGAATATCGGTGCAATCGCTTACGCAGTCTTGATGACAATTTCTTGTCCAAGTCTCCAGACTCATTGCTCTCGAAAGCCCGAAGCAGCGCTACACACATCCCATCACCCGCATACGCGGTGTGGATCAAAATTGTCATAGACGACGTTACAGTTGTAAATGAGCAAGCTCGTAGTCTGGTCTGCGTGACAACGCATCATCCAAAGCATTCTGCTTTCCCGGCCTTTGCTTCACCTTGAAGTTATACTCCGCAAAGAAGGATAGCCATCTAGCCATCCTCTGCGAGAGGTGGGGCGGCTGAGTCACAGTGCGTAGTGACGTATGATCTGTATAGATCACAAACGGCTTGGAGCCGAGTAGGTGGACCCTGAACTTGACAAGTGCATACTTCATCGCAAGTAGTTCCTTGTCATGAACCGGGTAATTCTTCTCTGCAGATTTGAGCTGTAGAAATTCGAACGCGATCACCCGATCTCGCCCCACGGCTTCTGCTTGCAACAGTGCACAGCCGATGGCAAAACCCGAAGCGTCACAGACGACGCTGAAAGGACGATCAGATCGGTTTTGGTGCATGAAGGAGGCTGTCTTTGACCCCGTCAAAATTCTCCGGATATTCGATGTTCCAACACCATTCCGTATCCTCTTTAAGAAGATTGAAAAATGGCCGGGCCATTTCTGCGTAATTTACGCTGTACTTGTGGAAGTAAATGGCGTGACCAAGACACTTACGCAATTCCTTCTGGTTCTTAAGAACCGGTCAGTCTACAACGGCCTTGACCGTAGCGAAATCCGCTCGAAGGCCACGCTTCCCAATAAAGCACCCTAAAAAAGGAAATCTCTTCTGCGCCAAAGATGCACTTGTCTGTATTGGCGTACAGTTTGTTCGTGCGCATGCACTAGAGCACCGCTCTTAAATGGACGACGTGGCTCTCCTTATCCGTCCCCCCGTGCGCCGCACGACTGTGAGCGAAGATGTCGTCAAAGTATGTCTGTGCATACGCCCTGTGGGA